ATCTTCGATGGAAGCGTTGGTAGCTTTACAGCGTCCACACGACTTTGCAGACGATAAGCTTTGATAGCACAAGCAAGGTGGCGGTACATTGGTAGCTAATTCGCTCGGGCGAGACACGTCTTTGGTTAAAGGTAGAGTGACGACCAAAGACATTGCTAAAGCTTCACGGGACGCGATATCAACAGACAATGAATTTGCAGAAGATTCGAAGGGTATAGATATCTTGGCAACCGATGATCTTTCAGACGACTGGTGAGCTAGTGGATTATCGACAGCAAACAAGCTTTCACAGGACACGCGACTTTCAGTAGGATCAAGTGCATGCGGTGTATTAACCGCTAATGATCCTCCATCAGAATCAAGAGTCGTTATTGAATTGGAAGCCAACGAAAGTTTACTTGACTCCAGAGTTGACGGCACAGTTGGGACGGACGAGTTAAGGGACAACTCAGCTGATTCGCAGCTTTCATTTTGAGGCGTGTTGATTTGTACTTTACCGGCCCTGGACTTTGGAGGCCCCGTATGTGGAAGTGCAACTCCAATGACTGCGTTCCTGTAGCGGTCCCTCCTACTTGGTCCTCTACACAGAATGCGATAAAACTCCTGGCGATACTTTTCTGAGAATATTACGTAGATTATCGGGTTAATTGCACTGTTTGCATAACCAAACCACGGGAAAACAAATTTTACTTCAAAGGGAATTTTCTTCAGTAGGGATTCATTATATATTCTTATCATCTCCAGCATATGAAATGGCATCCAAGACAGGGAAAACACAACAACCACCGTGATTAACATGGCAGTTGCACTCCGGCTAGAGGAGCGGACTCTTTTTGCAGCAGCTAAATTGGAATGACCTGGTAATTTTCTGCTGCAGAGGCGTAATCCAGCCAGGCTGTAGAAAAAAGCGATGATCAGCAGAGGAATGGCGTAACCTGTCACCAACACCACTATGATGTAGGCTTGGTATGACATGACTCCCCAGGCTTCAGTACAGATAAATTTATCCCTTCCTTCAACATACCGTACCGTACTTGCCAGCGCAAGTGGAACTGTTAATGCCAGAGCGCACAACCACACCACCGTCATCGTGAAACGCAGAACATTTTGAGTCATGATCGTCTTCATTGGAAACAAGATGGCAAAACTCCGATCCAGGGAAATTGCCACTAAACTGAACACTGACGCGGCCAAGGATCCAACTTGAGTAGAGTGAAAGAATTTGCATAATACAGTGCCCATAAACGTGCCAAACCATTGGTTAAACACGAATACATATTTAGTTATATACGGTATATCTATGGTCATCAAGAGGTCAGCAAAGGCCATGTTGGCAATTAGCATGTTGGTTGAACTGCGCATGTGCTTTACTGTGCATACGATGTAGACCACCAAACTGTTACCGATGAGCGCGAGGATGAAGATAGAAACTGCAAAGACTGTCACTCCTATCTGTATATTTGACGGAAAGACAAATGGCCCTGCAGGCGCATTGGTAGAGTTGCTGGTCTTGTTAGGAACTGCGGCAAATTCTGCGAGGAGAAAAACAAATTATAATTTGGTGAATTTTCATGGATAGAAAGCCAGTGGCAGTTTTTTGGGGAAAAAAGTGCACTCTTTCATGGCAGCTATTTCGTGCTCATAAAGTTGTTGCTAGAATGATTTAAAAACTCTCAGTCTGAAAAAGATTAAACGCTGCACAGTAGTTAACGTTCTCTATCGCTATAAGGTAGCCGATTTACGAACTGTTACGGTACGAAAATTAACATTTTTGGTGCCGAAGTATGTCTGGCTTTTTGGATCAAATTCTGCATTCGGAAACGTCCCGGAGTCAAATGAAATATCGGAATACTGCCGATATTTATGGAAGCCGAACAAGAGGGCGTTCTAAATTAATTACCCTGGCATCTCATGTGCTCCCGTTGGAACTCATTTGGTGGAACAGATTTACATCCCTCATTGTTAGTCACTGTGTACAGATGAATCCGATTTCTTTGCTGAAATTGAATGGCAGCTGTTTACCGATTTAATGGATTTGGAAGATTTCCAGAGTCAACTGAGATTCTAGACAACGCCAATATTTAGAAGCCGAAGTTCTAAAAGTAAAAGCCCGGTCATTTTATAGGTTTTTCTTGTAAAGGTTTTGACATCATGTCTTTCTGATGACTATTTTTGCACCGGCTCTTACAATTTCTTGAGAAAATGTTTTACCTTCTTTATCATTCCTGGCCTAACCCATTAATTTCAGGAAAAAAAAATCTACTCTGGCACTTTGTAAACAAAAATGTTTTACCTTCTTTTTCATTGCTAGCCTCATCCGTTTATTACAATGAGAAGGGAGAATAATTAGCTTTCAGGCCGATTCAGTTAACTGGGATTTCTTGGGCGAATCTTGCGCCTGGTTGACTAGTTAAACTGATCGTTACGCTTCAGAATTAAAGCGATTCTACACTCTTTCTTGAAATTCAAGTGTATACAATCGTACGAAAACAAGAAAAAAAATTAATGATCAGAAATGACAGGGTTTACTTACCTTGAATATCGGTAAAGTTCATTTTCTTTCGTTTTGTTTTACCCTGTAACGGCTTAAGCTTAAGATTATTCGGAGCCTTTGATACTTGACTGAGGTTATCTAGCAGTTATCGTGAAACGCCCTCGAGTGTCAATGATTTTTCCCTGTATAATGAACGTATTCAAATAAAAACAATGCTGACACCGGAAAACTTTTGTGCCTGACATTTGTAACTATTTTGAAGTATAAATTAGCCGCTATGTCAATAGTCTCAGTTGTTACACTGTTCTTGGAAGTTACACTGAGATTAAGATTTATGACTTTCAAGGTGATCTAATAATCTAAACAGTTCCCATGTTGTATAGCTACATCAAGCTGAAAACACATTACGCAACCCTTCAATAAACACCAACAGAATTCAGGATTATAGTATGTTTTCAGCTGAAATATCACGAGAGCTGAAATTTCAACGGGGTTGGACTTGTGTCGCATTCAAACAAACTTTCGGGAACCAGTATTTTAACACATACACGTGGCCATAAGGAGGAATTAGTGTGTTTTCTGCTTTTAAACTTGTCGTTCTCTTTTATGCTTGGTTAAATTGTTTTCTTTGTTTCACACCTATTATCACGAATTACCGTGCAAAATGACAGGGGAAAAAAATTGAAAACTGTAAAAAATCAACCAAGAGTAACTCTATCCGTGGCCTAAGAAAGTCTAGGACAAATGTTGCATAGCAATATGATATAATTTTTTTGAAACTGAGTTTGCATCGCTTCTTTCTTTCTTTTCTTCTTTTTTTAAAAAAAAATTGCGTCAAAGCTGTCCTTTAATGTCGTAATTTTTTGGCATATGCTGTTTTTCTAATGATATATTTTTCATAATTGTATTACATCACCGACTGTTTAATTCAGTTTCACGACACCTTGGTAATAACGGTAACCTGAGTAGCAAGTGAATTACAAGAAAGTTGGCCGCAATGAAAGAAGTAATTTTGACAGAATGGGATGCAAACACAGCACGTTTAAGTTGTTAGTGTTGTCGGGGGAAGTGACTGGTTGGAGCGCAGGTCACTAAAGCTCGCATATGACCATCGGCGCTGTTGCATAACATTCGAACCATATAGATTTGTTTGGAAGAAAAAATTATTGTATCTGTATCCAACGAACGGGTGTATTTCTTCTTTCCTGTGTGGTTCCCGAGCCCATTTAACGGTTTAAAACCTTTTTTTTCTCTAAAACCTTTTACAGGGTCATGTTTCGAGCTTGGGTTACCTCTGGTTGGAATGATTTTCTTACCAAAAGTCATCTGACCAAATTGAAATAGACAAAGCTAATGGCACTTTCGTGGCAGGCACCAAGTGCACACAAACCCTGCGAGCAAACTCCCCATACGGGGGATGAGAAGTGACAAGGCACTCGAAAGGAGACGGCAGAGCAAGGAATGGGGCAGCTCGCTCGCGCGTTGTCTAGCGGCTTGCTTCACTTGTAAGTCGAAGAGGAGAACTCGCTCGCGGGCTGGTGCATATTAGGCTGCGTGGAAACGGACGCAACAACGCCAACAATGTTGGGAGTTGTTGCGTGCGTGTTGGTAGTGGTGTGCAAACGGATGTGGCGTGTACTGCATTAAATAGAAGGAAATATTAAGATAAAAAGCCAGTCTTGTAACATGGCAAAGTCTGTCACGTCTCTCGCTCCTGAACGCCCTTTTCTTAACATCAGGATTCATCTGACATTCATCGGCAACTGAGTTGTTCGCTTCAGTAGAACAGCTTACAATCAAGTCTTCAGCCATAGTTTCATCAACTGGTAAAATACTTTGCTCATAAATTGTACTTATTAATTGCTCATGTACTACATCGATCGATAATTAATTCTCTCTTTGAGTCCACAAAAGGGCCCCGGCGACGTTCCAAAACTGACGCTCACAGTCATCTTTTAGTGTGAACCTACCGTGAACGACGTGTGGGTGTGGGCTTGTATGCAACATGAGCATTTCTCTTAGTTTCCCAGCGCCAACATCATCAATTGACTTAATCTCGAACAATGAACTTATAAAATGGCTCTTATGATTGAGTCACTTCGAAAAACGCAAATTATTAGCCTTCTTGATTCGCAACGCCTTCTAGGTTTCTGGGAGGGAGGTGGGGGAAGGAGACGAGGTACAAAAAATATTCTTGCAAGGGTCCGTGGAAGGGAAAATCGTATGAAACCTGTTGTGGGGAGACCGTTTTTCTGCACAGACGACCGAAAACCAAATTTATAAACGGGCTTGCTCGGAAAGGGGCAGCTGAGTAATAATGAAAAGTAAAGCCCGGTTTCCATATGATCGCTGCGATCGCTGAACTTTTTTTTCTCAGCAATCGTAGCGATCATATGGAAACCAGGCTTAAAAGACAAGTAAATAAAAAGAAACTTGGTCACGTGGTACAAATTTGCGTCTCCCGTTTGACGTAAACGTGAAACTTAACCTCTTTATTTCCTTAATCCTCACGTAAACAAATTACGTGACAGTGGAAATCCACTTTAACGGTGCATTTGTGAAAAGCACCGAGACATCATATGAAACACGAGAATTATTTTCATTGATTTCGAAGTGTTTAATCTCGATGATAATACGATGGAAGGTTCTGTATGTGTTCATCCACAACGCTATCCCTGCACAGCAACTGTGCAATTTTTTGTGAGTTTTCCTCTGCTATTTTCTGACAGGTCTTTTTACGTAGCAACGCCATCTTTACCAACACATAGATAATGGAAAGAGGAGATGTTCTGACGAATTTCACTGTAGATTTCGTTGATTCGTGTAAGTGAAGTTCTCCTTGGATTTGTTACGAAGTTTTTACCGATGACATTTCTGGCAAACTGATCGAAGGATCCCCTCCACTTTTTGTGTTTCGTTTTGTCGATTTTAGCAAATGCAGGTGTTAGATCAGAATTTTGGCAAAGCCGAAGGAAATCGATGATTTCATCATGGTCGATTTGTTTAGCAGGTTTAGAGCTTAACGGATTTGTTACGAAGTTTTTACCGATGACATTTCTGGCAAACTGATCGGAGGATCCCCTCCACTTTTTGTGTTTCGTTTTGTCGATTTTAGCAAATGCAGGTGTTAGATCAGAATTTTGGCAAAGCCGAAGGATATCGATGATTTCATCATGGTCGATTTGTTTAGCAGGTTTAGAGCTTAACGTGTTAAGTCGCCTAAATAATTCAAGCTCGTTACTTCGTTTTTTGGGCCTTGCTTTGTCCTGAAATCCACCTTTAATTTCATGTTACACTGAGGCAACCCCGCATTGAATTGGTTCTTTTCCAACCGATGAATCAAAGACTGGTTTCAACTCGGTACGTAAAGCGATCGGCCATTGAACTCTAGAGTGGTTGCATGGTAACTTGCCTTTTTATTTCCATTCGGCGGCCAACATGATGATTCCCGGCTGGTCGCCCAACCAGTTTCTAAGTGTAACTTATGTGCCGCACCGACTTTCACGAGGGTTTGCGAGATACGTACTTCTAGTTAAGTTAAATATATTAAGAAATTTTGAACGGGGTTTTCAGGAAATCTTAAAACAAGTGTAAAATTTCAACTATGAAAAGCCCTTCTGCCTTGTAAATAAAGCGACTGGCAAAGCCGCTTGAGAAAAACATCAAGCAAAGGTTCAGAAGGGACAAAGAGTTACCTCGGCGGTCCGTTATGTTCATTTTTCTGTTATTCTCAGAATCTGTCTTTCATGTTATCGTCAATATCAGGTGTTCTTGGTGTCTATTCCGCCCCTAGCCTTGTTTTATATCATATTTTTACATTCCTCTCGATACTGGAAGGCATGCTAAGGAAACCTTGACTTCGCGTTTTGTTGGCACATTTCGAAAACCACGAAAATTTTAATACCCTCCAGGAAATAGCCACTATCAAATTCTTTATAGAACGCTTACTTGCGTCTGTAATTTTAACTGAAAAGGCGTTCTGTCGTAATTTGTGATATGTTGTAATTTTTAATAAAAATCGTAAATTGTGATAACAGTTGTCGAGAATTGAAATAAGCAAGCGATCGTTAATTGTAATAAACGTTGTCGTAATTTGTAATAAGCATACTGCTGTCGTGAATTGTAATAACTTATAAAATAACTAAGATAGTAAGTGCGCTCTGATTGGCCGAGAGGAGTGTTGTCAAGTTGTTTGGCTTTTCGCGCGCTATTCACGCAAGCACGAATTTGAAAAAGTTTTCGAGTTCAAAATTCGACAAGTTTACTTTATTTACCCATTCCTTCGTCGGTTGAAACATGGAAAATCGTTACAAAGAAGGTGGGTCAATTTTTCTTCGCTTAAGCTGACATTTTAAGCGAGAAAAATCCGTATTTTGCAAAGCATCTTTTTGCAAAACAAGAACTGATTACGCGTGCAAGACTTCGCGGACAAGATTTTGCGACTGGTAAGAATTTCTCTTTTAATCAGTGCCGTACAAAGAGTTTTGCGTTTTTTTCTCGGGAAAAGTTATGTTATAATAGCAATAGGAAACTTTTTCCTGTGTTTGCATAGCCTGATATAAACACTTGAGGCGTTAGGAGAATTCTCGACGGTTATGCAAACCCTCGACTTCGTTTCGGGTTTGCATAACTGTCTCGAATTCTCCCAACACCTCTCGTGTGTATATCTTGCTATGCAAACACGGAAAACGTTTTCTATTGCTTAAATATTGTCGTATTTTGTAATACTTCTTAATGTCAAGGGCTTATCTAATAAAATTTTCTTGTCAATCAAAAAAATTTAAGCTATTATGTAGCCAGCATTATGGCAACAACTAAATCATCTCACCGACCACCTGATAAACGTATTTGAAACAGTCAACCAACCAACGTACTGCGAGCAACTGCCCGTTATACTTCCACCACATGTTGATCATAGGGGCCATTAGTAATATTGTAGAGGGGTGGGGGTTAGAGGCAGTTCGAACCGCATAAATAGCACACGTACAATTGACGTCAGTGAGACTAATTTGAAACTTTTTTCTGACTTTTATCATTTTGTTTTATTTTGATGACAAACAGGAAATCAACTAGCACGAAAAAGTACGCAATAAAGTATTTCTTCAACACATTTATTATGTCCCTGATGACGTCATTTTAAAAAGAAGCGTATGAATTATCAGTAATCAACACGAAAACATCCCTATGCTCTGGTGTTCCGCAGTCCCCGCGGTAACTAAATTAAAACGAGACTACAGAATATAGCCAAGAATAAGGCACCACTGTGATATGTTGCTCAGTGCTCACCAAATTCCTTGGGTAAAAAAAGAAAGAAAAAGAAACATGAAATCGCGATGAGTTACAGTGTAACCTTATGTAACTTAAAATTTGCTCAGACTTTGGTTGGAATCAAATCGATGGATTGAGCTATTAGAGCTATTAAGTGCAAAGACGTGTAAAACAACAAAGTGTCCGTTCGTCTTGTGTATCATTTGTGTATTTTGCGCGACGCAATAATTCATTTAGCTGTAGCTGTAGTGAGTTTAATTCAGATTGTTCGAAGAGGGAAACCTACACGATAGACACAAACAGTTTAAAGTCACCAAGTGCTCAACATATCATCCCGTAGAGCAGCACTATGGAATACAAGGTATAAATTGTGAAAAGCAACGACCCCAGGACATTATCCAGGGAACATCGCAAGACGTTGGCATCACCAAGTGGCTCTTGAACAATACGATGACAGAGGATGACAAGACACTGTCAAGTAACTTTTTAGTAAACGGTTTGTAGGTCCTTTGACTCTGAAGATGACTGCCGCACAGATTGACTAAACGTCAGTCACTGTCAACAACAGTCCTAATCAGGACTACACACACCCATGACTGACACTAAAGAGGTAGAGTGCCTTACTTGCATCCAAGAGAACTACAGCCGAGGTTGTCTGTTGCGGTCTATTGCGCGAAAGAGACAATAGGTAGAATGTACATGTAAAACCTCTGTTGAGTGCCTCTTTTGCAACCACGGTGCTTGACGGAGTCGCCTAGCGAGAGTTGACTTAAAACAATTGAGATAAGGACATGTATTAGGCGATTGTCATTTCGCTTCTTGTCGTCACCATTTTTGGTGGGGGATTGCTTCTGATCACCTGATCTTGTGGTGCTTCGGTTTATGATTGTTTGGACTTCACATACCAAGAATATGATTAATGTTCTGATAATAATTATATCTGAGAATGTTACATAAAGAATTGAGATATAATGTCACTGTAAGCGTAACAAAAACATCGTTTAGTATACATAGAGTGCTTCACTGGGCAGCAAGGAAAACAGTGGCTCATTGTATTTATGAAGCATATTTAAACTTGAAAAAGAAACTAAGAAATTAACCACAGTTATCGACATAGGAATCGTCCTCCCCCTGGACGACTCTGCTTTTTAAAATATCATCCAGGCTGTCGGCAAGTTGATTAAAGTTTAGTGTTCTCCATATTTACTCTGATCTCATCGACTGGCATAATGGTAACTGTACAGTGTTGACAAGATTCAGTAGTAGAAGGCGTCACTTCCACAGTCAATACCCTTTCATGGCTATCACAAAGTGGCGATATGTTGGCTTTTAACACGCTTTCATCAGGCTTAAGAACGGTCCCCGGTAAATTGACAACCAACGACTCTTTCGAAGACTCACAGGTCATTGGTGTATTAGCAGCCAGAGATTTTCCACGAGACTCATGGCTCACTGGAATCATTCCGAAAGCCGGCAATGCGTCTTCAGCAGACGCTCTGGTCAATGGCTTATCCACAGCCAAGGGGCGTTCAAGGGCCTTCAAAGTATTGCCAGGCAAGTCACTTCCGTGGAAGTAGAGGTCCTGAGGTATATCAGCAGGAAAACAACGGCTCGAATGTTTCGATTTAAAGTGAAGTCCACGGCGCTTAAGTTGTTCCGTGTGTGCCCCACGTACACCTTCAATAACTGCTTTTCTTGTGCGGTCCCTTTTACTCGGACCTCTGCAAAGAATGTGGTAAAACTCCTGACGATAATACTCTGAGAATATCACATAGAGAATTGGGTTAATAGCACTGTTAGCGTAACCAAACCAAGGTGTGATGTATCGTAATCCAATAGGAAGCGAGTAAAACAGAGGTTTATTGTATCCACGAAGGATCTCTAAAGCTTGAAAAGGCAGCCAAGACAGAGCGAAGACAATAACTACAGTTATGAACATGGTAATCGCACGCCTGCTGGACGACTGTGCTCTTCTGTTTGAGATCATATTTTTATGGCCAGGAAGTCGTCTGATCCAGAGACGTATCCCTGCTAGACTGTAGACAACGGCGATGATTATCAGTGGAATGATGTACCCACCTATAAGAAGAACTAGGCTGTAAGTGGATGCTGACATGGGCGCCCAGAACTCTTCGCAACTCAAAAAATCTATGCCTTTAAGTTGTACAGTTTTAGATGCCACCATGACTGGAAGGGAGAAAGCCAACGCTCCCAACCAGACCATAGCGATCACGAAACGTACAACGTTCTTAGTCATAACCGTCTTCACTGGAAACAAAATAGCAAAACTTCGATCCAGAGAAATTGCCACTAAACTAAACACGGAGGCTATTAGAGATCCCACTTGAGCAGAGTGAAAAAACTTGCATAACACAGTGCCCATGAAGGTTCCAAACCATTTATGATCCACGTAGAAAAATTTAAGTATGTACGGTATGTCTATAGTCATCAACAGATCAGCAACGGCCATGTTGGCGACGAGCGTGTTGGTTGAGCTGCTCATGTGGTTTACCGTACACACGATGTAAATCACCACAGTGTTTCCGATCAGCGCAAGGACAATAGTCAATACTGCAAATATAGTGATCCCGATTTGAATGTTTAAAGGGAAGGAACGGTTAATATTGAGATAAAGAGATTCCGTGGCGATGTCGGTTATGTTAGGAAGCACCGTTGCTGCAAAAAAATATGAGATTTAGTAACACATCCACACGCAAATAGAAATGAAGGATATAGGATATACAGTAAAAATCTGCAGGTAAGAGACTTCATTTTTCCAAGTTAGCCTAAACAGGTTCTTACATAAATGGTAATTAGCACAAATTTAGGGTATGTAGGTTCTTAACTAGTTTCTTATTTTCTGAAGAAAAAAATACACTGAAGCTAAGAGTATTTAGTGGCATATGCAGCTTATTCTAGTAGATTAACATAAGCATACCAATACATTGCAGTTGGAGTGATAAGACACCTATGTATGTCTCCAAAGAGGATTCTGACGTTTCTTATTTGCCGAAGTGTGCAGAATTAATTTTATAGATTTTAGAAAGTAAGAACTTGTATTAAATTGTAGGCTAAACAGGTTGTTATATAGAGGGGGCCTAAGTGGTAAATTTTAGCCTAACAGGTTATTAAAACAAGTTCTTAGTCGCGGGTCTCTACTGTACGTATCTATGGCATCAGACAGATCCCATTTGCCATGTCGGCAGTCTGCATGTTGGGTCAACTGACTAACTAACTGCAATACCAAAATGTTACCGATGAGTGAGAGGACAGTCAGACACTGCAATGATTATCTGTCAATTCTATCTGTCATATTGAAGGTGTTTCAATACAGTTTTCTAGAGACCGGCCACAACGACATTTTTCAATCGGTTACAAAAAATCTTTTAGTCATCCGATCGCAATGAGATTTTTAATTACTAATAACTAGTTTTGAATTGACGTTTGAAGAGATGTAGTTTTCAGTAAAATCGATTTTACTTTAGCAGCAATAAGCAAAAATTAGTAAAGGCAAATTTGCAAATATGACATCAGAGACTTTAAGTGTTCTTTTATCCTCACACCGAACAGAATTCTAATTGTTAACTTCAGATAAATCGCAAATACATCTCAAAACTTATATTTTCACTTTAAAGTTTGTTGAGAAAAGTATAGGGATACAGTCGACTCTCTCTTAACGGACACCTCTGTAAATCGGACACCTAGAGTTGGTCCCTGCCTTTCTTAGCTCCCTTTATTTGACTCTCTATAAGACGGACATCTCTCTAAGACGGACAGCTAGTGCCGGTCCCAAAGGTGCCCGTCTTAGAGAGAGTTGACTGTACCACCGTTTCTTCCAAACGACTTTCAATAAGGACCAACAAAACATGTTTCCTCGCTGCGCTCGAGTTTGCATTCGAGTTCGAATCAGACTTCGATTTGGACTTCGAATTAAAGTTCGAGTCAGTAAACTTTGAGTTTCGTCCCGAGTTATTTTGGCCGAATGCAGAGATCAAAAAATGCTTTGGGCGATAAATTTCGACGGTGCAAGTGTTCAACAGAGAAAATCAAAGCGATTCTAACCATTAACTTCGAAATAATTAGCAAACTATAAGATGAAGGGACATTTTACATTTCATCTCACTTCTTGTTTGTGTCGGAGATTCCTGTTCCGAATTTCATCGTCTCAACTTCGTTTATGTCCCTTAAATCCATGTTCGAATTCATTGTTACATAAAATTGAGGTAAACCTGGTGATCAATTTTATATTGAGTTCTTACTTGCATGCATATATATTCTTTTTATTGCTATTTTTTTAATGCGTTATCTTTGTTTGTTTCTTGTAAAGTAATGGCCCAATGAGGCGGAAGGCGGTATGGGCTATTGACTCAGAGGCCATGAGGGCGAGAGGAATAATTGTTTTAGTAAAATCCAACTAGTTGGTCAAAAATATCGACATAAAACAACTTTAGCTAGAAAAACGTGATTCGGCCGCCATTGTTTTGATTTTCAAAGCCGGCGCTTTTCGCTTCTAGTGGGCTATAACATATAGCCTAGTAGTAGCTCAACCAATCAGAACGCAGCATTGATAATAGACCACTAGTTGGATTTTATCCAGGGGATTGTATAAGATTGTAAATTTAAGTACATCAAGAACGTGCTGTGCCAAACTGTATATAAATCCTGTAATAAGTTTTGTTAGCGCTATAATAATGCAGTTGTGAATAAATACTATATATTTCAGGGAAAAGCTAAGTTTCTTTTTTTGTAATCAACAATTAATAATATCCTTCATACGAATTAAGAGCCTAATTAAGAACCTACTTAGCCTAAATTGACGATATGTACCCCAAAATACAAGAACCTATTTTGCCAGACTTCAATAAAGCACGTCCTTATTCGCGGGTGTTTACTGTACTAGGTGTTCTGGGTGTCTTTGAAGTGTCTATGCTAGCCTTGTTTTAAATCGTTGTTTTATATTCCTGTCGATACTGTAAAAGCAAGCCATTATGGGAGCCTTGACGTCACCTTTTGTTGATACATTTCAAAAAACATTTTGAATACCCTCCAGGATATAGCCTATCAAAATTATTCATACCACGCTTACTTGCGTATTTCATTTCATAAGGAGGGTTTTTTTTGCGTAACGTACTTAGCTTGGAAGTGAAGAAATACGTGGATTAAGTATTTTTAAATTTTTCTTGCAGATATTTCCGTACAGCGCAGTATGCAGAATACGTGTTCCTACAAAAACTAGATAATAAACACTGTTTTATGAAGAAACACAGTCTGGAATAACGGTACTAAAAATCATGTTGGAAATCTAACCCTAACCATCTAAGATCATCTTTGGTTACTGATAGGCTGTAGCGTTTTAGGAAAGATCAGTCTTTTAACATATTAATTTACCCTTCCTGTGCATTATCAAAGACCAGCGTTATTATAGCTATTGTCGAAGCTAAAGAACAATAATAAATAATTTAAACTCTTCATCACCAACTATCCCTTCACTGTAAATTGTTTAACGATCACGGCTTTCGTTATCAGGGTAGAAGAAATGGATCAATTTTAGTTACACTTTTTTTTTCAGTTTACAGATACTGCTTTTGTTTAAAAGAAAAAATGCATTTCTCGTTAACCTGCGCAAAACAGTTCACCATATTATTTCCCATGAAAAAAGACAGCTTTGTTCCATCTGTTCCTTGTGTTAAATTTGCGTACGTTATTAAAGCTCCAAACCTACATCACGCTTTTAATTAGGCCAAATATAAATGCTCGAGTTTTCTTGGTTTTCAACAGCCCTTATTCCTCCCTTATTTGTTGCTTAATTGGACTGCTAACCACAACTGCTGTCCAATTAGATGCTACTTTATAAATCAGTTGGTCAAACAGCCAATGAAAATTAAGCAACCAAATGTTGTTGACCTATGCGAGCCAAAAAGTACGAAACAATCGAACTGTTTAACTTTAGAAGCTAGGCACGAGCTTCGTGGACATTACGAAGACCAATTTTCGCAAGAACTGACTCGATTGTGTCCTCAACTGACCATACAACTGTCTTTTTATAGGAACATATAATAACCTGGATTTATGAAAGCCGGGTTAGCAAACATTTTGTACTTTTTCTCAACTTCTCCTGTCTTAGCTTGTTTACTGTGTCGTTTGGTTATGATGTTTTGCGTCTTTTTGGTTGTTTTGTTTTGATTTGTGTTGAAATGGCTTTAGACGGAATTTTGCGAATTTCTAGGGCGCTTAACTTTCATTGAATACAAAGAAAACAGAGACTGTGGTCAAGCTCCGCCTTGAAGATTTTCTTACTGAATAAGTATTATATATTTTAGGCTATTTTAGGCAATTTTTAAATTTATACTTATTCATCTGAATAAAAGAGATTAGGTTATAAATATTTTAGTTCTTATGTCATTTATATTTAATTTTGAGATACTTATTTGATATGTTCGTATGTATTTCTGGAAAGCTTTCAGGCCGATAAATGATGAAGCATAATAAAGTATTTAGATTATGTAGATTAAAATCATGGCCAAGCTACTTTCGTTAAATGGCGATCATAATACTACCGGATAATTTTTATTTTCTCGTGTAGCTGGGTATTTACGCACTAGAATTTTAGTTGATAATGCTTAGGTACCCTGTCTAATTAAGGATCACCCTGGGAACGCAATGCTAACAAGGGCAAAAACGATGCCCTATTTAAGGTTGTAGACTCTCAAAAAAGCCTGATAAAATCAAACCCTTTTGGACGGCGCATACCTTTCTAGCCCATATACGGGAATAACAATCCCCCGGGAAAATAGACTGGTAAATAGAAAAAAGAACCAGAAACAAAAAGGTAGGAGCCCTCAATTCAAAGAGGACAGACGGCAAATTGTTGTTGCTCAAAGGTATTCCCGGCTGGTCACCCAACCAGTTTCTAACCGTAACTTATCTGCCGCACCGACTTTCACGAGGGTTTGGGAGATACGTACTTCTAGTTAAGTTAGATATATTAAGAAATTTTGAACGAGGTTTTCAGAAACTCTCGTAACACTTGTAAAGTTTCAACTATGAAAAGCCCTTCTGCCTTGTGAATAAGGCGACTGGCAAAGCCGCTTGAGAAAAACATCATCAAAGGCATTATAATACAGAAAGGACAAAGAGTTACCTCGGCTGTCCGTTATGATCATTTTTCTTTCTTTTATATGTTTATCCTTCTTGTTTCGACTTGTTCTTCTCAAAATCTGTCTTTCACACGACTGTTCAAGGTCGAGGCGCCTGTTAATCGAAAGTTCCTCTGCCGTTTTTGGGCTCTCACCCGCACACCCACCGCCGCGATAATCTACACATTAATTCATTTGAACTTTTATAATACAGAGTAACACCTGCAATTTGCACAGTTCTTATTTTGTTTATCGATGTTTCTCCGGAAGACTACAATTATTTGTCAAGTTTATGTTACTCTTTTTCTCGTCCCATTTCTTGACATGTTATCGTCAATACCAGGTGTTCTTAGTGTCTATTCTAGCCTTGTTTTAAATCATATTTCTGCATTCTTGTCGATACTGGAAGGCATGCTAAGGAAACCTTGACTTCGCCTTTTGTTGGCACATTTCGAAAAACACGAAAATTTGAACAAAAATGCATTTCTCGTTAAACTTCGCTATACAAAGAAAAATTGTGTTAAATTATTTAAACACACAGCTT